TTATTGATAATTTTGTAAGTGTATTGGAGAATGCGTTAGGTCGTTCTTGCTGGGTAGTTGGATTAATAGGGCTTAGTCGATACCACCAAGGTATTAAGCTGGATCTCCATAGACAACCGTATGTCAAAACTGAGCAACTCCATAGTGTTGCATTATACATACACACTTATTTATAAAGAAAATGCTTACCGAGCCGTAAAAATTATCTACCAATACATGTATATGGATTTATATATACACCAACGTGTAGTGTACTTACCTTGAAGTTGCTTGTCTACGCAAGCAAATGCATGAAAATTGAGAAAATTCAACCTTGTGCGCATTCGAATTCATGTTCGAATCTTTGTCCGTTCTCTGCGTTTGCGCGCATACTTATGGAGTTCATCCCATAAGAACATGTGCATACAACTCGGCTGTCAAACGCACGCATATGTATACGCACGCATACACGCTAGCGTATGGAGTTCCAGCTTTACCCAAATCCTACTCAGTATCGGAAAGGTATCGAGTACTTGTACGTAGAACTACGATTTTGCATATTAGTTAGTTAGTTAGTTGCAGCTTTTTTGACAGATATCCCATTGAAAATTATGTCAAAAAGCTGCAACTAACTTTAAAGTCGACTTTATTTTGACTATGACTACGGGCCATTGTATTTTTTTCGCAAAAAATATGCAATTGTACAAGTCAATTTATTTTTTAATATTTTTTTATACGAAAATTTAAGACAACAGTTATTTTTGTACAGTGTTTGATTTCAAAAACAATAGAATATATTTTTACAAGATTAATAGATAAAGTATTTTCATATAAAATAAGTTTGAAAAAATAACTCCTTTTTTTGTTATATTTCTTAAAAACATCAACTTTTCTAAGTGTCCTCGTGAAAGGCGGTTTCGAGATTTTGATATAGTTGCACATTGGCGTAGCCAGAATGAAATTTAGGGAGGGGCGGCCTCGACCCTATTAAGCTGGCATTTCAGGGTACTATATAAGGAAAATTTGAAAGTTAGGGGTTGGGCTCGAGCACGCCCTACCCCTACCTGGCTACGCCCATGTAGTTGCATGTTTTTAAGAAAAGCCTCTTGCAAGGGATAGATGCCCTAACAACCGTTATGTATAGACGGTCTTGCTTACATAGCTGCAGAAATGTAGTGTGCATATCTTTACATTCCTCTAATGGTTTTTTTTTGCAAAGAAGATGCTGAAGCATAATAAGTAGGGTTCGGAATCTCATGCACTCAATATTGAAAAATATGCGCTATAAGCAAGTAAAATATGCAATTAAAAATATTTTCCCATTATTTTATTGCCGGTACAAAAATAAATAACACGTGTGTTTTAACAAGAAAATAACGAAAACAATTCACTTCAAAAAAAAAATAAAAATTTATATATAAAATTAGTTTATAATCAAACAGACAGTTACAATCTTCTATGAATAGAAACATTGACACTTAAATAGTGGTTCAGATGAATGTTTGGTTGGTTTAATTGGATTGTCACCCTAGTGACAAGCAATTAGCAAGTTTTCGATTTTGATTCAACAACTTGTACCCACCTACAGCCACTTGGCGGCTTTAATGAATTTAATTACTTTATACAGAGAGAATTAGTTGCACTCTAAAACATTCTGATTGGCCTTCAAGTGATAAACTTCGGTAATTTTTGCGTGACCCACATTAAGTGCTGAGTTCCACCGCTGCCTCGTTTCCGCAAATGGTCCTATGTCCCGGCACCCATATTAGGGTAATTTTGTATTGATCAGAGATATAGGCCAGTAGTTTTTTTTGTCAAGAGATTTCGCTGAAAGTTTAAATGGTGGTAAATAAAAAAAGAAGCAAAAATATGCGAAACCACATGCATTTGTGGTAAAATATAATGCCCGTATGATACTACGTTTTTTTTTTGTATTTCGAGTGTATTTTACGCTGTATTTTGAAAGAAAGAGAAGGTCACATACAATTTCAGTACTTGTGTAAGCGAGTAAGCTATATACCAAAAAACAAACGAAAAACTAACGAAAAACAAACTAGGTTGTTAAAAACAGTCCGGCCAACTTGTATTTCGTTAGGTTTTTTGACAGATGGCTGTATTTCGTTAGTTTTTTTACACAGCTGTTTGCATTTTGACATACGAGAGATTTTCTAAGCATACAATGGAAATACAAGTTTTATCTATTGCAACAAATTGTTTGCTAAACGCTGCTGCCTTAATACAGCGTAGGAAAAAGGAAAAGACTAAAAAAAAATATTCTGCGCAGTGGCTTTTAAAAAGAGAACTGGAAGGTAAGTTTCGAATTCCACATTATATACACATGTATATAGTTCGTTTTTGTAATTATCAAAAATACTTTTCATAGGATTTAGCCATAAACTGTTAAAGGAAATTGAGTGCGAGGATTCAATCCTTCACAAAAATATCTTAAGAATGACTCCAGCTCAGTTTGCATTCTTATTAGAAAAAGTACGCCCCTATATTAGCAAGCAGGATACAAAATTCAGGAACTGCATAGGAGCTGCGGAACGGCTGCAGCTGACATTGCGATATCTATCCACTGGTAAGATATAATATTTTCTTGGTAATTTTTAGTACCGACATACATATGTATGTACATATTTCCAAAATTAGGTGAAACCCAAAGGTCACTTCAATTGCCGTTCCGAATTCAGCAGTCAACCATTTCCAGAATTTTAAAGGAATCAATTCCCGCAATATATTTGGCGTTAAGGGAGGAGTATTTGAAATTCCCTGCAAGTGAGCAAGATTGGCGTGATATTGCAAAAGACTTTTATCAGATGTGGGGATTCCCGAACTGCATCGGCGCTTTAGATGGTAAACTAACAATTAACACTTTTAAATTCACTCAACTGATGAAACGTCTCAGGAAAGCATTGCAGAATACTGCCAGTGAGGAAAGCAGGATCTACGTATTTCAATTACAAAGGATACCATTCATTTGTATTGATGGCAATCGCTGATGCCCACTATCGTTTTATTTATGCTGATGTCGGTGTTAATGGGAGAGTGGGTGATGCTGGAATTTGGTTGAACTCGGACCTGAAATACGCTATTGAAAAAAATGAAGTACATATACCAGCCCCATGCACGCTCCCTTTCATATCAACTCCCTCGCCTTTTGTGCTTTTAGCCGATGATGCCTTTGCTCTAAAAGACTACTTAATGAAACCTTACTCTCATCTAAGACTATCCAAGACTAGACCAAGCGAACTTAAATACAACAAAATACTTTCGAGGAACAGGCGCGTTGTTGAAAATGCTTTTGGCATTCTTGCGAACCGTTTTCGAGTTTTATTTTCACCCATCCATCGCGCTCCAGCTGCAGCCATTCAGATTGTATTATCTTGCGTATGTGTGCACAACTTTTTAAGAACAGAAAATGTGAAAAAGAAAACTACGTTTGACGCCATTTCCGAAAGTGAAATAGATGCAATAATAGATAACAACTATACAACAACCGCTTCTGAAAGAAATGCGTCAAAAAGTAGCGCTGAAGAAATAAGAAAACCTTTCGAAAACTATTTTTCTGCGGTAAATTAAAATATCGTTTCATTGTTTAAATAAACCAAAACTTTTCGTGTTGGAAATTTTCCATACTAGTAGAAGCAACAATTGGTTTATTTGGTGATTAAATAAATGAGTACAATGTCTTCAATTTATGTACATACCTACTAGCTAATACCTGCCTACTTAGCGGTGCACCGTGAGTAGTACAAACACTGTTACATTTTTGATTCAATTAGAGCAACCAAATATTTTAATGAAAGTAATAATAAGGTAAAAAAGTGGTAAGAATAATCAAAATACATATTCACTCGGCAAAATAATAACTCTGCCTCCTTTCGTAAAGTTTGACTATTTTCCTTTTGTTTATTGAACTTTAATAATTTACTTATAAAAATACACCCCATTAATTAAAAATCTTTAAACTTGGCAATATGTGGTGCGTTTATAATTATGACACGGGATGTATAGTTAACTCTACAAACAAAACCATATCAATAAAACTTTTAAACTTTAAACGAAATTCAGGAAAACTCATCAAAATTTCGATTTTTTTCTTTTAAATATTAAAAAGAAAATTGCATGTCTGTGTAGATGTGTAATTTTTATGTAATAAATGGCAAATTTCAAGTGGCTTAAGATCACCGTTAATTTTGGGTATTGTTTTTTTTAAGCTGAGGGCGCCGCAACAACCCATTTTGTTTTTGAAATACTTAAAAGGAAGTTCGAAATTGTTATGTAATTTTATGCATTTTCTTGAATTTTGTTTAAAGTTTAAAGCTTCTAGTGATATGTGTTTGGTTGTAGAGTTAACTAAAGTTTTATAAATAAGTTATTAAAATTCAATAACCTACGGAAAATGGTCAAAACATGACAAAAAGGGACACTCCTATTTTTGTCTATGAGTGTACATACATACATATAAATAGTCATTGTGTTACATAAGCCCATTCCGTTTCAATTGCTCACCCATGTATATCCCAAAACTGTTTGCCTTTTCGTCAGTGTTATTTGTTTTTAATGCAACATGAAAGGCATTTGTTAACTTTTGTGATGCTTCGATTAAAGCAGAGGCGTTTTCATCCAAATCATTATTAATTTTTGTTCTTCGTTTTCTTGTTGCATGGACCAACTTTCTAGTGCTATTGTTGTTATTGTCATCAAACCGACCACAGTTTTGCGAAGTAACCAGAGGTGGAGTTACAATCTCATCCGATATGATTTTAATTGGTGTTGCATCACTATTAGTGTCTTCTGTAGAGATGTTTTTAGTATCTTGGAGCGACTGGATACTGCTGTTACTTGTAATTGCAAGAGGGGTAATTGTAATGAACTCTGTGTTGTCTTCGATGAGTGAAAAGGATGACTCTGAGTCAAAGCCTGGATCGAAACATNCATTGATGTTGCATCACTATTAGTGTCTTCTGTAGAGATGTTTTTAGTATCTTGG